ACCATACATCCAAGACTTCCTATACTCCATCTTTTAAAACACAACATTCAAAGAAAATACATTAAAGGACTACTAATTCAGATATTTATAAAGGAATCAAATTAATAATTAATTACTTGACAATAATTCTATATACTTTAGATTTATATAAATATAAATATAAAATAAAATTACATGAAGCATATCAAACACACACCATGGTAGAGGGTAATTAATTAATGGCCTATTTATCAATAAATAATTAAAAATATATATTTATTAATTAAAATAAATAATTTCAAAGACAACAATTTGCAATAATTAATATTTTACCCACTACCTTTCATGCAAACCCTATTCCAATTTCATGAAACATAAATTTACAAAATTAAAATTAAAAAAACAAACCCTAGATCTAGATCTAAATCTACATGTACATGAAACATACATGAAACTAGGGTGTAATCTCAACTAAAATCAAGCAAGATAGACTAATAAATGGTGTAATCTCATTTATCTAACTAATTTACACTAATAGCTTCAAAACTAGAGTCTAATTTGCTTCATACAAAGCTCAAGCACCATAGAAGAGAGAGAAAAGCAAAACTCTAATTACGATCACTAACCAACCATTAAAACTTCAAATAAAGGCTTGGAATAGCATTTTCTTACCTTGTACAACCTCTCCACCAAAGTATTTGAGATCAAAACCTCCCCCTTAGTAGAACAATTTTTTGAGAGGAGCCCAAGGCCTCCCAACCTTTTTTGCTTGGGTTGGAGAGAGTGGCCCAAGGTGGAAGAAGATGACTGCTATATATACAACGGGCATTTGTAGGGGCGGCTGGTGATTTAGCCGCCCCTATAAATGAACACAGCAGGGGCGGCTGGTAATAGCCGCCTCTACATACCAGCCGCCCCTACAAATCGACGTATTTGTAGGGGCGGCTCGTATTACCAGCCGCCCCTACTGTGCCATTTGTAGGGACGGCTACTGTGCTGGAGCCCGAGCACGCCACTATAGGGGCTGCTCCAATGCCAGCCGCCCTTAAAAAAAGCCCTATTGCTACAAACTGTTTTTCACGTAGTGCGTGACCCCTTTATACAGAAACCAAACAAAAATTTTCACCTTTAAAGGTATCTTAATTTTCCATAAGTATCAGTTATATGGCATAAAATCTAGATTCAACATAGCATTATGCAATGATGCTTCCAAAAATCGTCCATTCTAATGAAGTGACCATCTGAATGTATCATTTGATCATTTACATGTACATTTACAAGTCATAAAACTAAATTATGCCAATAATCAAAGTTTTGACCTACTAAAGATATTGAAAACGAAATGTTTAAGGGTACAAAACTCATGATATCAGCAACAATAGCACTTTTCCTTTTCACAATATTATATAAATTTGTATATTGCTCTTTTAAGGTGGACATGCCTAGCCACTTATCTTGCCAGAATCCTAACTTGTTTGCCATCTTGTAATCTAAAATTTCCAAAACTTAGAAATTGAATTTTGACATTCATTAGACATGTCCAAAATTGTGAATCGCTAGGCTTTTTATCTACTTGAGTAATTGATTTGTTGCTCTGGTATATAATTTGCAGTGCTTATACCCAAAATAATGTAGAATTATACTTCGCATGCTTAATGAGAATAATGCACAATAATTAAGTTACATAGTCTAGGGTTGAATATAAACCACAACTTTTACTAATGAGTGGTGAGTTAAATATTCCACAAGTCATATCAACATCAAGAAATAAAAGTATGAACAAAAAGAACATATAAGACATATGAAAATATACAAAACTCAGCCAACCTTACATGGGCACTGTGTCAAATTAAGTTTTACTTCAACTAGCACTACAACAATAAGAATTTTCATAGTTCTCTAAAAATAATTACAAGAGGCAGACAGCTAGCTCGCCTCTTTGTAATAGTCACTGTTAATCATGAACAACAAAGGCGGTGCAAATTCCTGGCTTTCGGACGAAGGTGGTGGGCGCTCACGTGGATCTCAGTCGAAGGACACCGTCGGCTCGAAGATCCCGGCCGGAGGAGGCTGCCACTTGAGATTTGAGCCAGTTGTCAGTTATGTGGAGAGGGACGGGCACCACCGCATCATGGGATCAAGCGGTGGGAAAAAGTAGCCACCCCATCGTGGATCCAATCGGTGAGGTCTCGATCTGCTGGCCAAGATGGAGAAGAAAGGGATGGGGAGCGGGCTTGGGAGAGTAGGGTTGGTGGAGATGGAGTTCATGGAGACCTAGTGAGAGAGCCATGAGGGGTCGAGAGAATTGAAGAGAGGGACCTGAGAACTAGGGTTTTGGCTTAGGATGGGCTTATAGGGTGCGTTTGGTTTCCTGACCTGTTTGTAGCCTGGCTAGCCTTAGCTTGCTCCCACCAAGCCAACCCCTAGTTGTTTGGTTATTTGTACTATGTAAGCCTAGCTAGCAAATGGTGTGTTTGGTTGTCTGGTTTGGTTTGCATAGTATCACCTCTTCTTCCAATCGGTAAGTCCCCCCCCTTGAGTAATTTCATCGAGCATGAGGTGGGTGCACAAGAGGAGGACTCCTCCACTTCGTGCTCGCCACTGTCCATGTTGATTTTGGTCAATCCGGATCCGGGTCGAATAGCTCCCTTGCTCAAGAGAGACAGGACGATATGATGCTCGATGACCTCATCGATGAGCCCCCAATCATGTGCCTCCTCTGAGCCCATGAACCTAAACCTCTGCATACACTTCTTGATGCAGTCGATGTCCTGGCCGGTGTGCTTGGCATAGATCTTGTTGAGCCGGTCGCGCACCTTGAGGATCTCCTTGGCATTGATGGTGATGTGCGAGGCCTATCCCGACATGCCACTGGATGGCTGGTGGATCATGACCCGCACGTTCGGTAGTGCCCGCCTCTCCTCATGGTGAGGAGTAGCGACACCATGGAGGCGGCCTGGCTAATACAGAGCATGATGATGGGGGAGTGTGGTCCGTCGTCCGCTACTGCTGCGGGCGACGCCATGAATTCACCCTTTGAAAAGGGAGTGGACACGACCACGAGGTGGAAGAGGAGAGCTGACATGGATGCGAGCACGAGGTCCACTGGTGACACGAAGAAGGGAGCACGGAGAAGCGGAGGTGAGCGGGGAGTGCTGCCGAAGACGGTGTAGGGAGGGCTACTGCAGAGGGACAAAGGGCGAGCAGAGGAGTAGAGGGCGAGCTCTAGCACCCCACAACCGACTGACGCCTCTGGTCTGTCGGACGGCAGCAACATGTCTTCGGTCCCGCTGCTCGGCATCGAGGCCGGTGGCAAGCCCGCACCGCGGCCGTCATCGTGGGTGGAGCGCGTGGTGGAGGCGAGCAGGGAGGGCTGCCAAAGACGCCGTGGCCACGGAGGAGCCGAGGCGAGTGAAGGAGCAGAGGGCGAGGTTCTAGGCGATGAGCAAACTTCGGTCGCCTGCTTAGCCAAGTCAGGCTCTCAAAGAACGGCCGTCCCCTGCGTTTTCCTGGAGCCAAGCTAGGGGATGGTTGGTGGCTTCTTGGAGCCTGGTTTGGCCCTCCAAATAGCCTGAAGGTGGCTTTCTAGAGCCTAGTTGAAGATTAGCCACCCAACCAAACATGCCTATAGTGGGCTGCTGGATATATGCTGGACCTCAAGTCTATTAACAGCGGTGGGTAACTTTTATTAGAAATTTAAGCAAATTCTGATATTCTTTAATCCAAAAAATGATTATCGATATATTTGTGACATCAGAAATGTTCATGTGTGATCTAATTGCAAATGTGTTAATGAACATGATATTGATCATGATTTTAATCATAGAAAATAAAAGACGGGTGGCTACAGTAGCATATCTAGTGACACCAGAACCGTTTCGACTAGTGGACATGGCGTTTGTTGGTGTAGTCATCCCGCTAGATGCAGTGCAGATCACCAACTGGAGCCTTCGCCATAGTCGTGGATTGCTGCTGGGAAATAGAGAAAGTTGTGGACCTAGCAGCCGTGTCACGTCAAAGACAGCTCTAGAAAAACCTGATTGCTGGCTTTCACCCAAACAGATGAACGGTTCTCTGCCACCAACGGGTGACCTTATGTCTTTTTTATTACCAACTAAGTTTTTTTTGGCTTCTGGCACTGTTAAATTTGATAAGTGATTGTTTCATGTAATAACTTTGTTCTCGTTCCAATGGGGATGAAGCTGGATATTCTTCCATTGTCTTAAAAATGTTGATTTTTTTAAATCCATCATTGACTTTACTTAGGATTATATTGTTGCTTCTAAAGTTTGGATAGATGTGTTCTTGAGTCTTTCAATCCATGAGTCTTTCTTCAAAATTTTAACATAATTTTTCATTCCTATAGAAACATGGGTACCACAAATGAATGTTTCGTCAAGCACTTTTTATGCTTGTTGCTAACAATAAATGTAGCCTATGTTCATGCACTAGACTGATACAGCCATACACTTTTTTATATGATTTAACTTTTTCAGTATATATAATATGTAATTATCCTTCTTCACATGGTGTCACAGAGAGTAACTTCCATCATGTGTTTAGATGTGAAGCTATAACTATATATAGATGTAGCATGTAGATGCCCACAAATTTTAGTTAAAAAAATACTATCTCAGGTTTGTTGGAAACATCTTATTTTCCACACGATTTAATCAGGTCATATACAAAAAGTATTATATTTTAAGATGTTAGAATTTAAAAATTCTTTTTTTAGATTACACCGTTCAAACTAGCACATTTATTTTAAGACAACTGGAGTATATATCGGCACCTAGCATTGGCCTCGACCTATGGTGCGGACCGGATGTTTCGCATCACTGTTCAATTGTGAGATTTTCATGGACATGAATATGGGTCTCTTGTTTGGCCTTGCATGCACGAATCTGACTGCCATTCATACGACGAAGTCACTTGGTGGATATGAGGTGACCAACACTATATTTATAGTAGTGTGTGCCCAACATTACACACCACACTAGCTAGCTTGTCATTCCAAAAGCATGGCGTGTGCTACCCTTTCGTTGCTAGACCACCTATTGATCACTGTATTGCTCGTCCTCGCTCGCGACATTATCACAGCCGGTGTTGTCATAGCTCCACCTCCCACTCCTCTACCTCTTCCATGGCTACGTGCACCCTCTCCGACTCCTCGTCCTCCAGGTCTTGGGGCCCCTGCTCGCACTCCTCTTCTTCCTCCCCCTCGGACAGGCACCCCGCCTCTAACTCCTCTTCCTCGTCCATGGTTGGAGGCACCTTCTCCAGCTCGTGTTCCTCCACGGCTAGGAGCACCCTCTCGTACTCCTATTCTTCCTTCTCCTAAGGTACGTGCTCCACCTCCTACACCTCCTGTTCATCCCCCACAGTTGAGAGCACCCCTTCCTACCCCTATTCCTCCTACTCCTCGGTTGGGGGCTCCCTCCCGCGGTCCTATTCCTCCTCCGTCTCGGAAGGGTGTTCCACCTTCTACTCCTCCACTTCTAGCACCACGGTTAGGGGCACCCCTCCCGTCCCGTCCTTGTCCTCCAGCTGGTGCTCCTATACTTCCTCCTCGTCGGAAGGGCGCTCCACCTTCCACTCCTCCACTTCCTACACCACAATTAGGGGCACCCCTCCCGTCCCCTACTCTTCCTCCAGCTTGTTCTCCTATACCTCCTCATCATTGGAAGCGCGCACCTCCTGCACCATGGGTTAGGGGACCTATTCCGTCTCCTGTTATTCCTCCCCCTCGAAAGCGCACTCCACCTTCCACTCCTCCAATTCCTGCACCATGGTTGGGGGTACCCTTTCCAACTCCTCTTCCTCCTCCTCGCGGTCCTGCTTTTCCTTCCCCTCGAAATGGTGCTTCACCTTCCAGTCCCCCACTTCCTACACCACGATTAGGGGCACCCCTCCCAACCCCTCTTTCTCCAGCTCATGCTCCTATACTTCCTCCCCGTCGGAAGGGCACTCCACCTCCTGCACCACATTTTAAGGCACCTATACTTCCTCCCCGTCGAAAGGCCACTCCACCTCCTGCACCACATTTGAAGGCACCTGTACCTCCTCCCCGTCGGAAGCACACTCCACCTCCTGCTCCACGTGTTAAGGCACCCATTCCATCTCCCATCATTCCTCCTCCTCGAAAGGGCACTCCGCCTTCCACTCCAATTCCTCCACCACGGTTGGGGGTACCCCTTCCATCTCCTCTTCCTCAGCCCCCTCGCACTCCTATTGTTCCACCCCCTCAAAAGCGCACTCCACCTTCTAGTCCTCCACCATGGTTAGGGGCACCACTTCCGTCTTCTCTGTTTCCTCCCCCTCCACTTCCTCCACCACGTTTGGGGACACCCCTTCCAACTCCTCTTCTACCTCCTCCTCAATATGCGGCTGATCCTCCTCCTCCACCACCTATGGGTGGACCCAAAGTGCCAGCTCTGATTGCGTTTGGAGATTCAATCGTGGACACCGGCAACAATAACTACCTGACAACTGTTGTCAAGGCCAACTTCCCGCCTTACGGCAGGGAGTACCCTGGCCACAAGGCCACCGGCAGGTTCTCCGACGGCAAGATCACCGTGGACTTTCTAGGTTCGGTGCGGATGTGTTTATTTTTTGTTTTTTTACCTCAAAATCTTTTAATTCTGATGACGCATCATGCATGGTAATTAACTCCTGACATTCATGCATGGCTCTGTGTATATGTATACTATATAATTAACGGGTAAATACCTTATTTCTATCTTCAGCGTCTGCGTTTGGGTTGAAGGAGACGCTCCCGCCATACCTGAACAAGAACCTCACCCTGGAGGACCTCAAGACCGGCGTCAGCTTCGCGTCGGCGGGGAGCGGCTACAACAACGCCACGTGCCGGACGTCGGTGAGCTAGCAGACCTCGATCGAGATCGATGCATATATATATATCCGTGTTTGTTTGTTTGTTTGTTCGCAATATACTATGCTGTTTGCTATATATGTTGTTTGCATGCACGCAGTCCACCATGACGATCGAGCGGCAGCTGCAGCTGTTCGCCGAGTACAAGGCGAAGGTGGGGACCATCTCCGAGAGGGCCCTCTTCGTGGTCTGCTCCGGCAGCAACGACATCGTGGAGCACTTCACCTTCGCCGACAGTATGACCTCGCCGGAGTACGCCGAAATGATGGCCCGGAGGGCAATCGGCTTGGTCGAGGTCGGATCCCTGACCCCTGAGTTACTATAATCTCGTAAATTAACATATTATCGTAACTCAAAGTGGCTACAGAATAAATTATTTTGTAGCCAGTTATAGGATAGTGTCGTAAATTAACATAGTAATTATCGTAACTCAAAGTGGCTACAGAATAAATTATTTTGTAGCCAGTTATAGGATAGTGTATATATATATATATATATATATATATTATCATCAAACACATGCATTCATGCATGGCATGCAGGCGCTGATCGGCCAGGGCGCGCGGCAGATCGCGCTGACCGGGGCACCGCCGGTGGGTTGCGTGCCCTCGCAGCGGCGCATGGCCGGCGGGGTCCGGACGCAGTGCGCCACGGACCGCAACCAGCTGGCGCTCTTGTTCAACCGGAAGCTGAGCCTGGAGGTGGCCAAGCTGTCCGGAAAGTACCGCGGCGTCAACATCTTCTACGTCGACCTCTACTCCATCGTCGCCGACGTGGTCCAGCGCTACCAGGCCCTCGGGTTCAAGGACGGCAAGGACGCCTGCTGCGGCTACGTCGGCCTGGCGGTGGGCCCGCTGTGCAACGTCGGCAGCCGTACCTGTCCGGACCCCTCCAAGTACGTGTTCTGGGACAGCTACCACCCCACCGAGAGGGCGTACAAGATCATGATTGATGACTTCCTTAGAAGATACACCAGATACATACACTAGCTAGCTAGCTAGTCGATCCATTTTAATTTGCTTCTCATTGCTAGGTTATAGAGATTCTTATTAGGTTATTGTAGCGAATAAGTATGTAATCGAATCGATAGGCATGCATATATATGTCAGTCGCGCATCATATAAAGTTCTGTATGAATTTCTTTTCCCCTATTTACTGCTTTGCTCCAAACACTATCAAAATTGGATGGCTAATCTCTTTAGTAACAATTCTACTTGTCTAAGCAATCGTCAAAGCAGCAGCAATCTCTTATGTAACAACAAGTCTTCACACAGCACCAGCAATATCTTCATTGAACCTCGTCAAAGCAATAGTGTACTGGAAGCTGAAGATTCAATCTCAGTTGGCTTCAGTCACCTACTACACATTAGGATGGGTTTGTACGTGTTTGCTACAGGGTAAGCCTAGGTTTACTGCTCCTCTTAATTTCAAAACTTATTTCTCTACATCTATATTATAACCTATTGTAACCTTCCAATAGGGACCCGATTTGCTCAATTAGCCGTCTTCGATCTGTTTGCAATTCCTTCTCTATTTATCATCGTCCGTTCCTTCCTCCCTCTTAATACCACTCCTCATCTGTGTTTTTTTTAACACACGGGCACGCACAAGAAGCTGTCATCAATTTCTTTAAAGAAAGAAGAGTTTGCAAAACAGCCCCTAAGTAGCAAAAAAAAACAGTACAAGGCTACAACAGTCTGAGATGTTGGTTCTTTTCCTTCCAAATTTTAATTTCCCATAAAATTAAGAGGATGTGAGTTGTGACTGTGGATTCCTTTCTTGGGAGCGGCAAATAACGCCCACCTCTCATAGACACTGTAGCACTCAGAGCCCATTTTAATTGTTTTAAGTCATGTTGTGCAATCCAATTCGCCTCCTGGTCCAAATTATTGTCATGTAGTATCTATGCTCGACAAAGACGTGATAAACAAAGTCGTAGTCATAAATGCGAATTTTCCTCTGTTAGGGGGCCAAGGGTACAAATTTTATCAAAATTTGATCGGGTTTGAAAATTTTCTAGATAAATTGTACTAACTTGGGGGGGTGGAATCTGCACTTGCGCCCACAATCTCCAAAATATCAACTGTAGTTAGTGGTCAAAGATCCCAAGAACGGGACTGTAGGCAGCAGATGAGGCCATGTAGGGATAGGGATGGCAGTGGGGCGGTTTCGGGGTGGAGCTCTGCGGATTTCGGGTTCGGTGGGTTTGGGCTTGATATTTTCCCCATGGTTTTCGGGTTTGGGGACTCGAAACATTTGGTTTCGGGTTCCACCCGCGGATATCCAATGGAGGTCCGAAATAAATCATTTTAAATAAAAAAACATGTGTTTTGTTAATAAATTGTTTATGTAAGCTATTAAGTTTGTTCTAAGTTGAGTCATGAAATTGTGTGATGTTTATTGCCTCTTTGTTTATACATGTGGATATGTAATGTATATATCATGCATTTGTTGCTAGAAATTCCTTATTGTTTGTTTATTGCCATATAGTGGCGGGTTTTGGGTTTCGGGAAACCAATCGGGTTTCGGGGATCCACCGGATTTGGTTTCGGGTGTGGATTATCATCCAAAACAGTGTTTGGATATTGAGTTTGGGTTTCGGGTTCAGGTCTGCGGAGACTCCATTCGATCCCGAATCCGCCCGGTTGCCATCCCTATGTTGGGAGTGTTTGGATCTCTTGTTCAAACTTGCCTTAGACTGGTAGGACAAGAAACTGGAATAGGCAAGGTGTTCGGTTTCTTTTACTACGCAAGCAAGGTTTTCTCTTGCTAATTTGGAAGAGCCAATCGGACTTATTATGTTACTAACAAATGTATCTGTGCATTGCATGGAACCTAATACATCTTAGAATTAGATTTTGTATCATCGCTAGACGCTAGTTGTTCTAACTTATATGAGCATGGGCCATGAATCTAGGTCACATACAAGATACGGAGGGCGTAAGGACAGTTTTAGATGTAAAAAGTGGGATAGAAGAAACACTTTGCTCTTCAATATTATTTGTACATAGATTTAATATTTATATTTTGAATTGTGGGGAAATTTTTGCTGTTGTATATAAAAATGCTAAATGGATTTTATTGAATTGCATGTAAACTGGAGATGGCCAAGCTCGCCTGCAGCCACTACCTTCAAACCCCCCTATCACTGCCAGAATTTGAACCAGGAAAAGGAAAGCGGCAATGATGTGTCTTTCCTATCACCGCTGGTTCAAAAAACTGGCAGTGATAACAAACTTCACTGCTGGTTCATATCCCCAACCGATAGTGTTTGATTTGAGCAACACTGCCAATTCATTACACCAGCCGGTAGTGATATAACTATGATCACTGTTGGTTCTATACATCAACCGACAATGTTGATTTGAGCAACACTGCTGCCTTAGTAATTAGGCTGGCAGTGATATACCTATCACTACTACACTCAGACCTTTCACAACCACGCCGTAACCCCCATCGCAGCCGCATTTTGGCCTCGACAGTAAGCTGTCGGCAGTGATGGTTATAGCCATCACCATCGAATCTGAGACCGACTGCGGTGTACACTACATCGCCGTATTGGCTTATGATCCGTCCGTGATAAGGTCCTTACTTCCGTCGCATTAGAACACGACCCGTCTGTGGATATACACTAACACCGCCGCATTGGCAAACGATCCGCCTGTGTGGAGGCTATCATCACCGTCGTGTGGGCACATCAACCACTAGTGTAGTGGTCACCAGCACCGTCGCTTTGTACTTTGACCCGATTGTCTACGGTGCAGCTTCGCTGTCGCTTCGACGGCCGAGACGTCTATAGAGGTAAACATCATCGTCGCTTCAGCGTATGAACTGTCAGTACAAAGGTCATGGTCACCGTCGCCTTGCACCACGATCCGCCTTTGATGATCGTTTAGTCGGTGTCGGGTTACTAAATGATTCGGTAGCGATACACTTTTATCCTTGCCGCATAATACGTATAGCGACGGTGTGGGACGTTTGCACCACCAACTGCAGTGGTGATAATAAAATAATAAACGACCCTTAATAGCTTACCGAACACAAAGCATACAGATATAATCATTGCATCCATAAACCATGTTCTTACAATAACAATGGATGCTTACCATAATATCTTTCTCAACTGATGTCCTAACACAAGAGGTACATAGATTGCAAACTAAAGATACTGATCTCTACAGACTTACATAACAAAATGACGTAGCTGTGCTCCTCCTATGTGGCACTCTTGCTTTCTAGGCAAAAATGAATATAATTAGTGCATCCTTCGAATTGTAGGCAATGCACCATGGAACCCCTCTTCTTCCTCCTAGCCAATGTAGGAAAATTGTACAAAAGCACTCAGACTCCACCTGCACAAAAGCAGCACAATTAATAATATTCAAGACACCATTCCTTTAGTTACGAAGCCCAAATTGGCCTACATATAGAATCAAAACAACTACCTACCTGAACAATGGCATGACATAATTACAACAAAATACAGCATATGCAACTTTACTGTTGTGCTAATGACTCCATGAACAGGGAACATAAGGAAGATAGTGAGGTCCACCACTCATACATAATAGTTTCCAAGTATTTCTATGATAGCCGATGGCCTAGGTAGGGAGGACATGAACTTTACTACGGTTCATGTCATATGCAAGCAGTGATTTGTCCTCCCCAACAAGAAAAATCAAATTTCATTCTAGATGAACTGCAATCACTCTATAGGCCGTATCACAAACCTTGGTACCAATTTCAATATTCTTCTTTCCAAATAGCTCCAGTGTGGTCACCTTATGCTTCAATGTCCATTTACTAGTACAATAGTCTTCAAGGATCTAGATTGAAAGCCCATACCTATTCAAAGTATCAATAGTATATAAACACAACTGACCCTAAGCTTCATGGATGGAGATTGCATCACCAGTTGGCCTATGAATTTTCCTCCATGTCTTTCCCTCCATATCAACAGCAACTATCTGGGTGAACTCCAGCATGTGCATAAAACCATTAACAAACACACATTTCCCATATGTGGATACTACAATACCCTCGCCACATTTAGATTCTTTAAAGATCGATGCTCCAGTTTTAGATGAGTAGATGTTGACACCTAAGGCGTCATCATTGTTGATCCCATATTTAAATACATGAAAGTACGAGGAGACTGTCGGATCGAACCCCAAGCGAGCCAAATTACTAGAATGGTTGCTACCCGGCAGTAGCAACTATTTCTTAGTCACCGGATTGTAGACAACATAGCGAACCCCAGAGTACCAGAAGAGGATGAGGCCCCGAGAGCAATCTAAGATCATGACATCCTAAAGGGGGAAGGGCAACAAGGACAAGGAGGGGTATTCACCGTTGATGCTAGTTTAGTTGCGTTTGCATTTCCAGCTGCTGTAGAAGAATCCGGCGAGAATCTAGGGCAGCTCCTTATGGTACTCGGATCCCGAGAATAGGCTATTCCAGGAGCGATAGACACACTTACAGCTACACAAGGAGCAGGCAGTGAGGCGGTTGAGGATGAGGACCAAGACATGGTCTATGAGGATGGCCACTTTATTTCACTTGTTGGGGGCCTCCTCCTCCATCTTGACAAGGATGTGGTGGAGCGGGGACGGCGATGGAAGCGACGGCGCTATCGCCTAAATTAGAGAAATAGCGACTGTGGAGATGTGTTCGTGAGCTCGTTAATAATCAGATGGAAGCTTCATTCATACTCAGATGAGTGAAGAAGGGAATAAAAATCCAAGAACAATGCTTAATGGAAGTGCAAAAGCATTACCATTGCCTTTAGATCTTGCGTCATTGAGCTCGAGTGGCGACTGTGGTGATGAGTACTAGCCTTGTCACCGGTGGATCTGTGCTATCTACCTGCCGGTGAGGCGTACCATAGAGCACTAGCTTGTCGGCAGTGACTGGTGGCTTGCACGCCACTGAGTAGGGGCGGTCGCGTAGTTCGACACTGGGGAGCAGGGGCGGTGATGAGGAACAACAT